AGGGGATGGGGACATGTGTCTGCACCCAGAGGTGGGAGTACAAGCTGTCCCTTCACTTTCTCATGCCATCCCATAGCTGTGCCTAAAGACGTGAAATGGCAATAAGGCCATGCCGTCCTTCACATCCACCCATGTCAGGAGAGCATATTCACTGACATATTATTTTTTTCTGCAAAGGCAGTGAGAAGTAACACATTTCATAGAGGTGCCATCATGAGAATAGGGAACGCATAATCCTGGCGAGGCATTTCTCAGTTGAAAAAGCTGTCCAAAATACATGGCTCTGAGACTGGTATTTGTGCAGTATTTCTTGTTAGCATAAATAAAATCTCTACCTTCCTTGTACTTATTACATAAATATGTATTTGGCTTTTTAAACTTTCTTTAAAGAAAATGTGTCATTCTTTATCCACAAAGGTGTGCCATAATAGAACATTTGCTTTGAAAAGTTCTCTTGTTTCCTTCCTATAAAGACCAATGAATTTGCATTTAGATACCCAAAATCATAAGCACTAAAAAATTCAATATGAAACTGTCACTTCACACACACACACACAAAATCTCAGTAACTAATATACAACTTGTTTCTTTTTGATTTTTCTGTTTTACTACTTACTTCCTACTAAAAATGACATTTAAAAAATAATAATAATCTAGAGCCCTCAGACTTGAAAGTGGTACTTTGATGCAAGGAGCACTGTTCCCACTTACATTTTTTCTCATCAGTCACCAGGGCACGGTGCTTTCTGCCAATAAACAGGATGCACGAAATGGAAAAGTCTGTAATGATAAGTTACCTTTAAGTAAGGCCGGGAAAAATGAGGCTGCTGGGGATGATGGCGCATGGCCAGATGCACTAAAGAGGAAAAGTGTTACGAAGAAAAGAGAATAAAACAGGGTGAGGATGGTGGAGGGAGGGGATAAAAATGCCCTTCCTCCTGAATTCCTTGCACAGAATTCCAGAGTTAAACACTTTATGCTGTTACTTTTTAGCAAGTAGAAGGAAATCACTCAAGAAATTTACCTGACTTGGCACAGGAGGGAGGTTATATTTTAGAAACAGCTGTTAAACAGTTCTCCTAGCTCAACCTGGTTCACTGGGGGCAACAAGTAAACCAGGTCATCTCCAGGCAGCTGGTGTCAGGGATACAATGCACATGGCAAACCTCTGCAGGTGACCTTCTCTGTCCCTGTGTCTACAGGGGACTGGAGGAGGAGGGGTCACGCCAGTCAGCTGGACTCGCCTTGCTTCACTACTACCTTGTGAAAACTTTAACCATCTTTATTATTATCGACAATAGATGAATGAAATACAAACGGACAGCAGTAATTCAGTAAAACCTTGCCAGTGGCTTCTCCACTGTTCTTATGATAAAATCCCAGCCTCTTAGGATGGGCTGCAGCCAACGCGATCAGGCGTCTGCCCATCTCCCTCAACGTGCATCATTATTCTCAAAGTGCTGGCATTCTACTGGTCTGCTCCATCGTCCTCAAATATGACAAGCTTGTCCCCATGGCTTGTATGCATAGCTCTCCTGTTTTTGGAACGATCTTCCTCCAGATTTTGGAAAAGCTGTTTCCTTGTGATTCAGGCTAATGTTCAAATAACCCCTGATGTTTAAGTCATCCTTAACTACTCCCTCTAAATGGCCAACCTCCTAGTACATCGACTTGTTTTATATTTTGTTCACTGCACTTTTCACTATCTGGGATACTTTGTTTATGGATTTGTTTCCTTGTTCATTTTCTGCCTTTCCCGTTCTCACGAGGATGGAAACCTCACGAACGCTGGGTGAATGAACGACTGATGGTTCACAGTCAGAGCAACTGGAGCAGCTGAAAATATCTGACGCCAAAACTTAGCAACAGAGAATTTGCTTTCAGTGTTTAATGTTCACTCCATTCACTGACACAGCCTAATATACTACAAAAAATACAGACATTAAAAAGAAAACAGTCTTTGATTTAAATCCTGGTTTTACCACGTATTATCCAGGTGAACTTAAGTTCTCCTTAAAATGAAATGATAATATGGAACTCACTGAGCTTCTAAATAATCCACATAACTCACCTGGCATTGTGATTGACTCTTGATAAGTTTTTAAAATTTGGTAGGTATGACGGCTATCATTCTACTTTCTTTTAAGGAGGAAATTACTTCTGCCTATCCTTTGCTGTTCTGGAGTAATCTCTGTCACTGGAGTGGAACCCGCTGCTTCTGCCTGCCCAGCATCCTCGCCTTGGCTCACTGGGACAATGCACTGGTCGTGAGGTGCTGAGCCCACCCGGGAGGGAGCTGGTGAGTGCCTCCCCAGGTCCTCTGCTGGGCTGTGCGGGCTGGGGGTTGGTACCTTCTCTTCTTCTGAGAATGTAATAGTGGTCTGTAGGAGCCATCTTTACCCAAAATGTGAAATGACCCTGCCTGACAGCGCAGCCCACACAGAGCAAAGAAGTGCCAACAGGCGAGAGAGAGAAACAGTATCTTGAGGACCTATTACCCCATGATCGAGCTGTGCCTGAAGCAGTTCTAGCCCCTGCATAGCTCTCTTACATAACATCAGCCAACACATTATTTTGCTTATGCCAGTTTCAGTTTGGTTTCTGACACTTGTAATCTAAAGAATGCTTTCTAATAAAACAATAAAGAGTTTGTCTGTTTGTTTGTTGTAAGGATAAGAAGAAAAAGGCTTTTTCTGAGGTCCAATTAGTAAATAAACAAACGAATGTCCAAAATGAAATGGTTACAGTTAAAGTGTGAAAAAAGCACTAGGGTTATGAGGAAAGACTGTCGCCTTAGGGATAAGGCAGGCAGTAACAGCCCCTTTGAAGAAATGGTCAGGGTTGCCTTGTAGCGCTGAAAACCAAGAGCAGACCGCCCCAGAGCCACTTAGAAGTACTTGTGGTTACAGAGTAACAGGAAAAATTAAAGAAGAAATTAACACCTTATCCAAGAAACAAGCAGGAAGAGAAGGCCTTATTGGAAGTCAAGAGGAAGGTAACTGTCTTTCTGTGCAAAGGAAATCTAATTCACAGCAAAAAGGACATGTAGCAGGTAATCACTGACAAGGGCACCTAGTTTGTACTTAGGAGTTCGTACTTTAAAAAATGCTTTCTCCAAGAAAGACACATTAAGATGTTTTCTTATGAGGACAGGATATCATGTAATTAATAATGTGCTATTTTCTTAATAAAGTACCATTGTTAAATATCCTGCCAGACATGTTTCATATGTATATATATTTCTGTTTTTTTAAAAGAGACTCACAGTGGTGTGAATGATATGCCACATCCCCACTTCTCTCTGCTAGTTATACCTAAATACTTTGGTGCAACTAAACATCCATTTGTGGAGAGCTTCTTAGGTAAAACACTTTGATAAACACAACAGGAAACATGAAGAAACCTGTTTTACCCTTACTCCACTGAAACCTCTAGGAGATACCACTATATCATACGCCAGTGATTTTTCTTCCCCTGGAAATGGTCTACCAAGTATTTAACAACCTCTTTATCTTCTTCAGAAATTACAACACTAGCAAAAAATTTTTAAAATACTTTTCCCTAATGATTTTTATTTGAAAAAAATGTAGGAATTAGAATATTTAAATATTGAACACTCGATAAGAAGACTTTATATATGTGATCTGAGAGACCAAAATAGATGCCCTTTTATCAACGAAGTTGGAATCTAAGGTTAAAGAAACAAAGTTACCTACGGGTCAAGGGTTCAGGGCCCAGCTGTCACGGCAAATTTCTAAATTCCTGTGGCTACAAGAAAAACCACACTCTTGCTAGACTCTCTAACAACAGGAGCTATCAGGCAAATGATCAGAACTGTGATTTACAATCCAGACCACCATAGCCCTAACTGGATAGAGGACCAGCCTTACAAACATTCTTTTCCCATAAACTACTTCTAGAGGCTGCACACAAAGTATCTTTGTGTCCTATAGTTCACCTTTTGACATAAAGAGCCAAATTCCACCTCATTTTAACGCTAAAACCCTGTCCCAAAGGAAACATGGGAGATATGCTACATATGTTTAACCATTGCACACGCACCTGACTCCCCTTATAAATATGCATAGCTGTCCCCTCAAATCTGCTGAATATGTATGACTCTGTTGTGTAATAGGAACCCTGTGAGGCATTAAACAACCCAATCTGTCCTTCCCCTCCTAGAAGAGAGAGCACTTTCTCACAGACTGTCTCTTTCTGAGTTGTAAACTGATATACCCAATAAAGTTCTCCTTTCTACTATTTAGCCATCCTGGTGGTCTTTTAGATGACATATCAAAAGAAACACCACCATGAATAATCTAATATAATGGATAATGTCAAAAATCCTATTTATATGTTTCTGTCAAAATGTGAGAAACAGCCCTTTACACAAATCGATAACGGGGTGCAAGGCGAGAACTATGGTAAAGGCCTCGCTAAGAATAATGATAATAATTAGTTACTGTCCCCGTTTGCTTCTCTAGTTGCCACTCCGGAGCCACCTACCTGGCGTCCGTGAAGATTCTTAACTTTCCCCCTAGTTGGTGTACATAAAGATTCTTAACTTTCTCCATAGATCACATCACCTTTTCGAAACCTAAAGGTAGTCTTTAAGATATCTTCCGGGTCCTGCATTCCAGTGGATTGATTGGCCCACCCAGACCAGAGGCCCATACCAAGAAACCGACTCAACTGGAATTGTGACCCCAGGGACTGGAGCAACACAAGAAGATGACTTCCACACCCCTATAATTCTGCCCCAATTAATGAACCTAATTACCTAACTCCTTGTCTGCTAAACTAGCCTTAAAAACCCTGTCTCCCAAATTCTCCAGGAGGCAGATTTGAGAAATTTCTCCTGTCTCCCCACTTGGTGCTCTGCAGAATAAAACTCCTTCTCCACTGCAACCCCCGACTGTTTCAGTACATTGGCTCTTCTCTGTGCAGCAGGCAACAAATGGGGGCTTATTTAAAAAACAAAAACTTGGCCCATTACATACCTGAGCTTCTGGTTGTACTGTTTGACCTTTTCCAACGAGGCTGCATTTATCTGGGCTTGAAATTCTTCCACAGAAACATTGTCTCTATAATAATATCCTTCCATGCTCTCCAGTGCTGCATAAACAAGTAAATGTATTTTACAAGCAATCTGTAACTCAATTTCTCCATATTTAGTGTAATTTTATTGATTATTAGTAAATGTGCCCAACAGCACCAAGTATAAACATATATGCAAGAAACTATATTTAACTAGTCCAAAAATGAATGAAAATCGTTCTGCTCTCAAAATAAATATCAAACATTTGGTGATTTTTATGTTAAGTAGGCAAAGAAAATTTCTAGTTTAAACTGTCCTCTATTTTTAAAACATTTTGTATATGTTGTAAGAGACCAAAATATGCCACCCCAAAATATAACTGTAGGAGACCAGAATATAACACCCCAAAATATACCTCATTGGCATAAGGATTATTTTGATCTGGTTATTTTGAGAAACTGCAGACACGGGAGAAACTCTGAAATCAGAGTAGAAGTTACCGTTTTCTGTAAGGAAAATCTACATCTATAAAGGAAATCTCCATTTGTAAGAGTGTCTCCTCTCAGCACCAGGAAGAGAAGGAAGATTAAATCCCCAGAGATTCTTATCTGCACAACAAACCTTACCCCTGTTTTAAGGGGCTTTCCTGGTCACCTCCCCATAACTGAGCCTTCCCCACACCCTTCTTTCTTTGTTTCAGTGGACCTTGGTATGGAAGCCTAAATTCAAAGCCACCTTTAAGATTTACTCACTTCTCCCTGAGTATCTCCCATGTAGCCATGAGGTATACATGTTATTAAACTTCTGTTTGTTTTTCTCTTGTTAATCTGTCTTTTGTTATAGGAGTCCATCACAACTAAGCACTATGAAGGGTAGAGAGAAAATTATTTTTCCTCCCCTACAACATTCTTTGTGAAGCTAAATTCAAACTTCATATTATTTATATATACATACACATGTATTACATGTCACACATATGCATACATTCAGAACATGTGTACGAGAGGCAGAACTGTGCATTAACATATGTCAGAGTAAACAGATATCATCACTCTCCATGTCTGTTCACTTTCTCTTACAGTTTCAATCAAATTAAATTTAAGAAATAATAGCATAATAAGTAACAAGTATAGATAAAGTGAAATCTTAGAAAACCACCTCTACTCAAATGGTCAGATAATTTAGTTAAAAATAAATAAACATATACATAACATTCTACTAATTTTAAATGTCTTTTGATTAATATAGATTTCCTTTTTTACTAACATTTTTGATTATTTCTTTTTCTTTTAAACTTTACGAGGTGGTATTTAAAAAATTTTGGAGAGAAAGGGCTGAGAAATATAGATTTCCTATGGAAAGGCTGCCAGCAGAAGGATTGGCAATGGGTTCAATTTAGAAATGTAAATTATTTTCCCTTGAAATGCATTATCCCTTATGAGCCTTGATTTTTAACTATTTTGAAACTGACAAAAATTAATCTTCTTTCAAAACTGCTGAATGCAATAGTTTCTAAATAAAATAATGATGTTTCTTCAAACCGAGAGAAACCATTATCACCATTTTTGGGGGTAAAAATAGGAAGGTGACTGTTAATTTTAGCTGTGCTATATTTTGTAAACTGGTAAGAGTTCTACAGCACTGATGAAAATAAATTTGTGAAGAGTATTGCTAAATTTGAAATTTTTAAAAATGAAAATTTAAAAAATTGGTTCATAATTGAAAAAAGCAATTGTGGAATATTAAATAGGAAGTACTATTTACTTCAATACAAAAAATCAAATTTGTGGGCTTGTTTCAAAGTTTTTTTATTTGTTTATTCTGTGAACTAAAATAAAATCTTAAGCTCACCCAGCTGATTGAATGGACCCCCTCTTGGCCAAGGGGACCCCAACAATACCCTAAAACTGAGTTGCTGGCCATGAGAAGGGACATGTCCCCTCCCTGCTTGGAGATATCCTTTGTAACTCATTAACAAGTTCTAGGGCTATACAGGGCAGGGTTTGAACCACACCTGCAGGTCCTCAGATCACTTAAGTATGAGTATACGTCCAGTATACGTCCGGTGGCTTTTCTCTGATTAACAGATCTCCTTATCTTAACTTAAAACATCCCAAGCCTTTAGACAAAGTTCCATTTCTTTAACCAATTACAAATCAAAGAATCTTTAAACCCACCTATAACCTGCAATATCCTGCTTCAAGATATCCTGTCTTTTTGGGCCAAACCAATGTACAGCTTCCATGTATTGATTTATGTATGGCTTTATGTGTAATTCCTATTTCCCTGAAATGCATAAAACCAAACTGTAACCCATGGCTCTCTGGGCCATGATCGCACATAATCGGCTCAGAATAAATTTCTTTAAATTATTTTATGGAGTTTGGGTTCATTTCCATTGACAATTCGTTATGGCTTCTAGGAAGGAACTCTGGGAATTTCACCCTAAAATATGACACCTTGGCATGCTGATTATTTTTCCTAAAAGGCCCTGGCTGGTCAGCAGATTCTTCCAGAATCTGCTGAGCTCTGATATTCCTTTATGTACCTCAAGACAAGATCTGCCAAAGAGAACATGATTGCCTCCCTTCCCCTTCCCTCCCTTAAATCTAATTATCTTCTCTAAAGAAGAAGACACATAGACTTTTTCAAGAGAGGATCGTCTCTCCAACTCATACAAATTCCAAGAAAATCATTTACAAGTTAATTTCTGTCTCTTGGGTGCATTCACTCTCCCTAATAATCATTTACTATCCCCTACATTTCCCACTTCCCTTCCCTATGAAAGAGAGTACATGAGCTTCTGGACCTCATTGGGTTGTTGGGTAATCACTCTCCTATAGTTTTCCCCCCATGCACAGTAAATAAATTTTGTGTGCCTTTTTCTATTTTAAGTTCATTTTCAGCAAACCTTCAAAGGGCAAAGGGGAAGCCTTCTCTCCTAGACCCACATCTGCATTAATTAGAATAGTTACAACTGGCTCAGCAAACTTCTGGACCTGAATGCACGGAGGGAATAAAAGAAAATCTCCCTGATAAAACAATCCTCAAAAAAATGCCACATTTACCTCCATTAACAAGCTGTTATTTGTGAAAGGCAAATATCCCAGGAGGATTCAGTCTACCCATAGTCGTACTTCGATGTGAATTACTCTTACTAGTTGGAAAGCCGATGAAAGCCCTCGCACTAGAGTAAAACCCCAGTTTCTGCTCCTTAGTAGCTGTGTGACTTCAGGCAAGTTAATTAATATCTGAGATCCTCGGGCTCTGCATTTTAGACATGGAAAATAGGAATACCTACTAATTATGGTTGATGAGAAACAACTTAATTAAATAATAATATTAAGATAGCCTGTGACTGTTTGTATTTATTGAATGAGTTTTATGTACTAGGCAACATGCCAAATGCTCCAGGGGCAATATCTAGTTCTCAATTTCCATGAGATGTAGATTATGTATGAGTGTGTTTAGCCAAACAGAAAGTTTTGAGGACTAAGAGAAGAATCCATGTAAGGATGTTAGGTAGATAGTGAGGGATTCTGAGTCTCCTAGGGATGAAAGTGGGTGCTGCTGCAATCCACCACCCCCAAAATGGGCTTTCAGAGAGGCTCATGGGAGATCTGCATGTGCAGTAAGACTCAGGTCATGCAACTCCCAACTATCCAATCAAAGTGGTTCCACGGTGACCTCTGAACCACAAGGGAGGTCCCAATCTAGACACTATAAAACTAGACACAGATCATAACCAGGCCTTTTTGGCCCCTTCCTTTTGCTGCAACAATTGGTCAGCTGTCATCTGTGGAGTATGTATCGTGCTCTGTAAACCTGTATCTTGCTCTTGCCCTATAATCCTATCTTTCTCTCCTCAATAAACTCATTTTTGTGCTCGCCTTGCTTTGGTGTGTCTGGTCACTCTTCGGCCATGAGCACACTAAGAACCGACATTTGATCCCATTATGACCAACATGTAGGAATAACTATGTGATGTATAATAATGTTTCGTGATCCTAAATGTCTAAATGACTAAAACCTGACAAGGACACTTCAATTTGTGACTTGAGACCAGAAAGACTGGACGGAGAACACTGGGATGGAGCAACAGCGGGACTGTGGGAGAGGAGGCTTTGGGGAACCACCTGGGATCTAATATTCATAAAGGTCATCATTGTTCAACTTTGGCCAGAATGGCCTGTCCTGTGCTAAAAGCTTGTTACAATACAATAACAATTATATAAACACAACTTAATGTAATTTTAATGAATACTTCTACATTCCTGTTTTCACTACATTTTTGACAATTAATTTCCAAATTAACAAGGCAGTTAAAATTCACAATTACATAAACGTTTTAAAAAATAGGAAACATCTCTAACAATTTTGCCAAGAATCTTAGCAAGAATTTTGTGGCCCATATATTGGGTTGTGGGGAATGAACAAAAAAAGTGAGTTCTATATTTAAAAACTAAAATTTGTATGGTAAAGAAGAGGAAGGAGGACAACATTCCCTATTGAGCTAAATAGTTTACACATTTATTGTTATTAAAAGAGAAAACAGAACAATAGTCTAACACATTAAATTTCTATTCTCAGTAAAAGTAGGTTAAATATATAGTAATGCAGTAACTTCAAACCTTGGTCTCTCTTTAGCATTTTCTTGATTAGTTACTTCAGTTCTCTTCCATCAAATACTATATTTCTCAAAAGTAGTATTAACATATTTGGTTGAACAAATATTTAATTTATTTAATAACATTTAATTAGGGGCAGTATTTAAATTACAACTTGACTTTGCTTGTTTTACTTCTACCACTTTTGAATTAGAGGGAGAAAAACATCCCATTAAATTTAGGTAGTCAGCAAAAAAGGAAAACCTAATGAAGCTTAGGGAAAGTCAAAAATTAAATTATTCTCAGACTGAAAGTGAACTGCATTTCTATTTACTCAAAATATATTTCAAGGCTTTTCTAAGAAAGCGTTTAATCAGGAAAAACACAGGATTTCTGAAGAATAATTTTAAGAACAGTGTCAATCCACTAACACTCTTTTGATAGCATACTTTTGGTTAGATAATATACTG